TGGCCGACGTTTGACCGCCAGACCAAGTCGCTGCTGCTCCTGGGCGAGAACAACTCGCCCGTGCCGAGGCTCGTCAAGCCGTCCGAGTTTGACGCGCCATGCTCGACCGTCACATTGGGCGCTCTAGGAACGCCTTCGTCGTAAGGGGGTTGGGCTTGTGAATGGAAATGCTGCATCGCATATGGTCCCGTACTTATATAATGTATAAATGCAAAAACACCTCGGTCGAAATGACTTTTCTCGTTTGTCTGTGTCCTAGTGCTCATGCCTTACCTCATCACTCATCACGATCTATCTGCGAAAAGTCAAAGCCCCATGACCTTTCTCCCTCCGACCAGAATACCAAGGGACTATACAAAATCTCCGTGAGTTGCTGCCGACACTCACCAATGCCCAGGTGCTCCGGCGTGTCAGGCTCTTCGGACGCTGAGCCCGGCGGAGGATCTCCACGTCTCCTCGGAGACTCTTCTGGGCATGACAACAGGCACGGAAGAGACGAGTCGGGGCAGGCCAAGAGGGCACATGCGGCGAGTCTGATGAAATACTTTGATATCATAGCTTTCACGTCGTCTTGCTGATGGGTGCTTTTGGGCTGTATAATGATATGACGGTTTTCGACGCACTAGCCGTGGTGAGCTGTCTGCCTTTGTATTATGAGTGTTTTCAAACACGCCACAGTAGCGTTATTGACGGTTCTGTGGCACGCGTTCCATGTACACCCCTATTCCGAAGACGTTCCCGAAAATAGTCCCGGCCGAGAGTCGCCATACAGCCTTAAACCTGCAGGTCATCCGATGGGTCAAGATGCCAAGACGTTCCCTCCGGGGTAGTTATTTTTGAAGTGCACGCCACGAGAGATTCCATGACCACGTGCGGCGAGCATCGGAGCTGGCATGTCAGGAATGAATATGCGGGCCTACAGCCTGGCGTGAAGGTGCCGACGCTGTGGCGACGCGTAAAAGTTGCGCGACATTGCCCTGGAATAGGTTCAGCCAAGGATCAGCTTAGGCCTGTGTGATATCGTAGTTGAAGGCCCGCTCGTTCGCTGACTCGTAGCTTGAACTTCTGCCCTCGTCTAGTCTCTGGCCTGCCTTGCCAACCCGTACTCGTGTCCACGCGTTGACGTATTTCGGCTTTAGCTTTGTATGCTGGAGTTCCAAACGCCCTGGGAGTGTCGATGGTCAGCAGAGAGGACATCAAATCAGGCTGTAAGAAAAGTCCTTTGCCAACTCTGATCAGGCAATCAAGAAGCTATATTTTATTATGACCTGTGCTAAGGTAAATGGAAAGAATCCTCCATCAATCGGCACGGAAATTTCGTTGCTAAATTTGGACACTCAAGTACACGTCGAAGATAGCACTCTACAAGTACTGCCTTTCATACCTGCGCAGACATCGCTTCTTGGACCAGTCAGAGTTGTGCGCCACGCGATCTCGCCGTCTTGTGTCCCTGGTCTTCCACATGACCGCAAGGCCCCGTCAGTCTCGGACACATTTCACTCAAAGCATGCGCGAGGAAGATAGGATTGCGTAGGATAAAAGCTGCATCCCACTCGAGACACTAAGATGCAGCCAAGAGAGGAGAGAAATGCTGCACCAGTCCCTGGCTGGATCAGCCACAAATGAATCGCATTTGACATGTCTCCGGACAAGAGAAAAAATGCCATTAAATTTCCGTCTTTGATCGACAACTTCAGGTTGAAAGTAAAAACGCTCAAGAAATCATGGCTCGCCGGCCGATCGCTATTCAGAACCGTGGGGGTCGCCGCCCCATAGAAGACGCCCACTCTGTTGACCGAATCGAAGAACTCTGATATTTCTTGCACCTCGTCAAGATGAATAACCATATTCACGCCAATCCCAACCTCGCCCAGCATGGGTCCAAGACGAGCATGTTACGCACACATGCTTCTGGCTCTTCGCCGAACCAGCTTGCTCAACAGTGTCAGCGTGGTTACGCTTCCCCGTGCCGTGGCCGACCTGTTCTTCAGGTCTCGCCTGTCGGCCACCAACGCTTTGCGCCTCATTCTCTAACCACCTGCTGATGGCAGGATCATGACATGCGGCGTGGCCGAGGAGAGCATGCTTGACGAAGCGCACCTGCTCGGCTACCTCGGAATACTGCGACTGCAGGGCCGAGTGCTCAGCCTCGACGCGCTGGCCCGCTGCCTGCAGGTCGGCGGCAGCCGATTTTTGTTTGCGCCAGTTGCGGGCCGAGGCGAGACGGTGGCGCTCACGGGAGGCAGGTCGATGCTCGGCGGCCGGCGAGGGAGGAGTCATGTCGTCGAGGCCAGCCAGAGAGGTCGAGGGGGACAAGGGAGGCGTTGGCGCAGTCAGTACTGCATTGTCTGGCGCCGAGACGGGTGAGATGGCGGCATACGCAGGTTTGTCGGGATGATAGACGTCCCATGGCTGGTCGACGCCAGCCTGCGGCACGCCCATGGTGTTGTTGGCCATGTTGTAGGCATCTGGGTTGTGCAATGTGAACATGGGGTTGACGTCTTGGCCCAGCGATGTCGCATCGAGGCCGGCAGAAAAAGAGCGTGTCGATTCGGACGGGGCCATGGAACCGACGCCTTGAGCCTGGGGGATTCCAGACCAGGGCAGGAAGAAGCCAGGGCCATACCCGACTGAAGACACGTTGGTGGCATTGAGCAGAGGCACAGCCTGTGGCGACACGGTAGAATCGGCCTGCAAGAGATCGGTGGCCAGCTGCCTAGATCCAGGGTAAGACTGCGCAGACCCGGAGTTCGGCTCGACAAAGGCACCATTGGCGTCGGGCAGATGGTAGGCGTCGAAGGAGGGAGACTGGTGCCGTGATGAGGGCGAGGCTGTTGAGACTGCGTGGTGACGTTCGTGCGTGCTGTTGACTGAGCTCTGCGGCGACAGGAGGGCAAGCTGGGGTTGATCTTGGTTGGAGTTGGTGTCCTGGCGGCGCAGTTCCTCAATGGCCTTGTCCTTTTCCAGGTTCTTCTGTCTCAGAACTGCAATCTCATCGCGCAGGCTTCGTTTGGTGCGATAATGGCGACTCTCATAGATGCAGTCAATGTTTCGCTGGGCGCATCGCGTACATGGCCTGCCACCGCTGCACTGTGGGGCCGCGAATCAGTTGTGTGCCAATGGTAGGATGGGCGAGAGCCATAAAAACAGAGTTGAGGACATACCTTTGCCTTCTTGTCCCGGCATGTGTCACAGGCTTCACGCGTGCAGGCGCGCGGCTTTTGCGACAAGGGGGACGGCGGTGAGGACGTCGGGGTGGCTGTCATGGTGAGGAGGATGTTGGTTTTGGGGTTGATAGGCAGGCGGAGGGCGTCGCTGGTCGTGTTGCTTGTTTCGTTGGCAGGTGATACAGATAGATAGAGGGGCAGTATATGGGTCGGGTCAAATTACCCATGTTCCAAGGTCGACTGCCGGAAAAAGGGGGACAAATTAAGCGTGACAGGTTCCTACGGCCGACCTCCACGTCGCCTCTTTTATCAGGAACAAGCATCACTATCCACCCACACTCGCCTTGTCCTCCTGATCCGTGTAAGCATCATGGCAGTGAGTTCGAGTGGAATCCCGACCCTCGAGCGACGGCGGAGCGCATGCCTCGACAGGGTCCATTTTGTGACGACAAGGTGACGTGGGCCTCTCGGGACATGCGTGTCGGCATCCAGGCGGAGGCTAGGGATGGTGCGCACAGACAGAGATATGACGTTCTGGGTCGTTCATTTAGTTTGAAGGAATCGGCCAGTCGAAATGGGCAGAGTGGGTGACAAGGGCTGGCGTGACAATCATGGAGCATGGTCGTCGTTGTTCATGATGATTAGCTTTTTTGGCGTGCCATGTTGAGCTCGTCTCGTTGGTGGGGAAAGCGAGGGGGGGGCGGAGGGGCCAGGGAGGACGCACAGGCAACAGCCACCGGGGCACAACGTCAGGATGCATGGGGCAAGAGCGGGTCGTGGTGGGAAGCGACTCCATATTTAGGGCCCTCTATCACTTGGTGGTCCCAAGGCAGGTACCTTACCCCCTGAAGCACCATGGGAGGTAGACACGCTAGGAACCCGCACGAAGCAAGTACCGTTCCATTGCACGCACCGTTTACCGGCGCTCGGGTCCCCGCCACCCCGCGAACTGCTGTCAAAAGAGGTACGGAGAAGGTTCGGAGAGGGGGCCCTGGAGCTGGATGGCGGCTCCATGTCTGGTTATTTGCCCACCCGGTCCATGGACATCAGATTCATTGCATACACCTCGTGAGCCGAGACAAGGATGGAAGATGGCTTCGAGAATCCTGCTTGATTTTTCTGGATTTTTGAGAGGAGCGGGCGGCCAGCAATTCACAATGTCAAGGACCAGCCTGCGTACCTTTCGTCTCAACGTTGAGGTCTCGCCCCTGTACCCCGCCGCCCCCCCTCCATCCTGTCGCGCCGTTTCCATCAGGCTCCCCCCGACGGCAGATCTCCACGCTGGTCTTCATCCCATTCTGGTCCTCCATCATGTCACATCCTGATTCTTTGGCATCGAAGCACACTAGCCCACAGAGATCAGCACGTCGGAGACGACTCCGGCTCTCCCGGCACGTCGTCGGGTCCCCTGCCTTGAGCATGCAGCACACAGCTTTGGGGCACATTGGCGAATGTGATTTCACCGTGACATGGCAAAGATTTTTTTGATCCCCTCTCCAATGGTCATGCTTCCGGCATGCCTCCGTCATGGCGACCGTCTTCGGCCGTCATCTGCCCCGGCACTGGCGTTTTATGTACGGTACCTAGGTAGGTACCTTACGTCTACCTAGAGGTAGGCAAGTAGGAGAGAGGTAGGCAGGTAGGAGGGAGGCAGGTAGGAAGGAGGCAGGTCGGAAGGAGGCAGGTCGGAAGGAGGCAGGTCGATTCGCTCCTGACACGGACGCCCTGTGCTCCTCCGTCTCCAATGCTCTTTCCACGTTCCCAAACGCGACCCAGGCGGACTCAACTCAGCCGGACCCAACTCCGTACATCTGCCCTCTTCCCTACTCTCCATCACAGCCTCGTCACCCTCCCCACGCCGAGACCGAGCTTCTCCTCCAGTAATCGGACGCCGTGCTCCGCCGAGCCCCAGGAGGCCTGATAGCCCGCGCCAGAGTGCCCGTAATTGTGCAGTACAACAAGAGCGGCCGAGGCCCCGCCTCCGCCAGACGCACCCTCGCGCTTGACCTCGTCCTCGTCCTCGCCCTCAACCTCGACCTCGACCCTCGGCCCCCCCTTGCGCCCAGGCCGCAGCCCGACGCCCTGCCGAATGATCTTGAGATCCTCCGGTCTCCCGAGTTCCGGCGCCAGCGCGCAGCACCGTCGCATGATATCCTGCGCCAGCGCCTCGTCGACCTCGCCGCTCCAGTTGCCGTCCTGCCGACACCCGCCGAGCACGACGCCCCCCGCCATGGGCCGCTGGAATACGTACGTCGTGTCGTTGTCGACGCGCCGCGGCGACCGAAAGTACATGCGCCGCAGCGGCTGCAGCGGCTGCTCGACGAGCACCGTCTGGCCGCGCGTCGGGTACATGGCCTTGTCCTCGACGCCACCGAGCGAGTGCGAGCCGAGGCCTGTGCAGTTGAGGACCGCCGTGACGTCTGCGGCGATGCGCGCCTCGCGGATGTGCGTGATGCGGCGCCGGTCGAGCGTCACGTTGCCCTGGCGGCACTTTTCGAGGAGCCTTGCCTGTGAGATTAGACCGGGGATTGGACGTCGTGAAAAGGGAGAAAGAAAATACAACGGGGACAGAGTACGAAGGGAGGAAACAGGAACGCACCACTGCAGGTAGATCTGCGTGTTGATCACAAACGTCCGCGGCACGTCGAGCCCAAACGCCGCCCGCGCCGGCAGCGCCCCCTGCGCCACCGCCTTCACGCCGCCCACGAGCTCGTCATACCACAGCTTGCCCGTGCCCTCGCTCAGGATGGCGGCGTCCTCTATCTTTTGGTCGAAGATCATGCGCAGCGGCGACCACTGGATGCCCGCCTCGGGGCTCTGGCGCACAATGGCGGCGAAGCGCTCGTAGGTCACGCGGTCGAACGACTCGAGCAGCCCATCGTCGGTGGCCGCCGAGCACCAGTTGCCGCCGGCCCAGGGGGAGCAGTAGTCGATGTTGTAGTCGCCCGGGAAGTCGGCCGCGAGGATGGTGATGCGCGCCGACGGGTGCCGGGCGCGCAGCGTCAGGGCCGTCGTGAGGCCGATAACGCCGGCGCCGAGAACGACAAGGTGGGGTCCCGTCATTCCGTTGACCGACTGACTGTGCTTCAATGTGCCTCTTGGTGTTGGCTGTGTGCTGATTTGCTGCTCTGTGTTGCTTGCTCAAACTGCTCGTGCAAGCCAGTTCGTCGTGTGTCTCGTTTTGCTCTCATGGACGAGGCGCTCTTATGTGTGCAGCTTCGCACACGCGGACTAGCCGGTATCGGTTTCGCCATGGTGTTCAGCGATGCTATCTCCAGTTTTTATCCTGGCATCCCGCTGCCCGAACGAGGCTAGCGACCGGCCGGCCGCCTTGGACCCTGAGTCGTGCGCTGGTGACGAAGCCGTGGGCGTCGTTGGTGGGCGTGTATGCTCGGCAAAGTGCTTAATTTTGCCGAAATGTGGGGGTTCCGATTCGGCGCGCTGGTTGGTGTTGCCGATGAATTGTACGACTCTTGACGGCGAAAATGTCGTGATGCCGAACTGACGCCAAGTCAATGCGCCGCGCTGGACGTTGTGCCTAAGAAGATCACGCGTGAACAGAAATAGCAAGCAGAATGCTTTCTTGGCATACATGGCCATCGGCTTTTTTTCCTCCTGATAGCGGCATCTGCAGTGACACGCTCTTGTTCATCTGATATGTTACTTTGTCGTCGGCATTCACGTCAGTAGCCCAACAATTCCATACCCGCCATTTGACTTTCACTGAAACAAATAATGTCAAAAATAGTAGTCTATGTGCATGCCGTGTCCCATGAATGTGCATCGTCTCATCGTATTTTCATCCAAGTCTTTCCGATCCCTTCTTAATATTATTCTTCCACCTCTCTGACCGGTAGCACAACTCCTCACGGGTGAAGCTCGAGGCACACCAGATCACTTCCTCGAGCCATGCGCGAATCGGTTCATGATCAAGCCGCCCACCATGCTCTTCAACATGGCCCCCTTGCTGAACCCCGAATCCTCTTCCTCCTTCCTCCCCCTGCGGTCATCATACCGGTCATCATACCGATCGTCATACCGATCCCGGCTCCGGCGATCATCCCGTCCCCCGTCATCCCCGCCATTCTTGAAAGCCGCGATGGCCGCCGCGCCCGCAGCCGCCGTCGCCACCCTCGGCGCCTTCTCCACCCACCGCCCCTTCTGGCTCCGCATCCGCCAGGCCTCGGCCGCCCCCGCCGCCAGCGCCGGCCCGATGGCCGCCATCATCTTGTCCTTGTTGCTCGACGTCGACGACGACCGCGCCCGGCCGCTGCTGCTGCTGCCGCCGCCGCCGTGGTCTCGGTCTCGATCCCTGTCGCGGCTGGGCTCGTCTCGCCCGCCGCCGCGCCGGTTCTCGCCTGCCCGAGGCGGGTAGTACCCGCGGCCCCGACCGGGCGGCTGCCTCTGCGTCTCGGACCGGCGCGGAGGCCGCCTCGACGATGATGATGAGGCGTAGCGGTCGTCTGGCGAGGACTCGTCTGACGAGTAGTCGCTGTAGCTGTCGCGGCGCCTGCGCGTCGGGCGGCGGGTGGGACCGTCAAGGGAACGGGCGCGGGGCGGGGCCTGGGCCGGGCGGTGGGCGTCGCGGCGGCGGGACGAGGATGATGCTTGGGGTGGTGGAGGTGGCGGGGAGTCCTGGTATGCGGGCGGCGAGGCGCGCCCCGTCGGGTCGTGGTCTGGCGCGACGTAGTCGTAGTCATCCGAGTTGTAGGACGGCGGTGCCCGTGGGCGGGGCGCGGCGCGGCGCGGGGGGCTTTCGTAGCCGTCGTAGTCGTAGTCGTCGGGCGGCGAGCGGCGGCGGTGGCGGGCCGATGACATTGGGGGCGGCGGCGTGTCTGGCTTCGCTGGTTTTTTCTTCTTCTTGGTTTTCGATAGAGGAACGCTAAGTAGGCGGCTAAGGTGGGCGGACTCGAATGGTGGCTCGGTGGCTTTGCTTCTGGTGAATGGGTGTCCGAAGTGACGAGTGTATCCAGAATGGTAGACGTCACGAATCGAACGGGATCAGTTCTGGTGCAAAGGGATGGGCGATGGATCCGATCCGGGGCCCCATGTCATTCTTAAGAGACATCATGACCAGCAAGTCAGCCCATTCGACGGGGGGGGGGGGGGGGGGTCTTGGCCCCTCTGGTGCCAGGGCAGACTCGAAAAGAGGGCTGCGTTTCACTCGGCAACGAGTGATGTAAATGTGGAGAGGCTGAGCATTGCTCGGCGGCCTTGTTACCGGCCGGCTGCCTCTTGAAAATGCAACCGACGTCACACCGGGCGTGCGAGGTGCTCGGTGAGGATTTGCTTGCTGTCGGTGAAAATTCTCACCGAACATCAACATCGACGCATCATGGAGACGGCCCCAATCGGGTAGTTCTGGGTTGATCGGCGCGATCCAAATTGGCAGGCTAGCTTGACTCATGATTCCCCATGAAATAGGGTCATGTCGTTTGAAGACCTAGGAGCATTTCCTCCTGGTGTTAGTGTGACAATAGACTGTAATCACAACAGACGATAATCGCAACAAGACACTGAACGTCCATCAGGGCGTCATAGACAGGTTGATGAACGGAATCTGAGTCAACCGGCATCATCAGCGATGCACCCTGGTGAGCGTCGGCTCACCTGTGGGAAGTGAGTATATGAACAGCGAGTAAGTGCCTCTAAGAAAGGGCCAAAAATCCTTAAGCCCCATCTTGTATTCCGCTCAACTAAATTCAGTCAGCGTTCATCAAATCAGCTGAACAAACCAACACACACCTTTGAGCCTTAAAAATATCAAATCATGTCTGACAGCTACAATAACGATGCCGGCGTCGACGTCAAGGACGACGAGTACGTTTCGCGCCAGGCCCGTGAGCCCATCACTGTCCAGTCCGACGACGCCAAGATCGAGGACCCCATCGACGAGAACACTGCCGATTCTGACGCGCAGCTTGGTATGTTGTCGCTCGCCGCGAATTGACCATGCGCGTGCTAACATAACCAGAACGCGACGACAAGGACGCCATCAACCCTGACAACATCATCGATGAACGCACACGCTCTGCTAAGCCCGAAGGCTCCTACCGCGAGCCCGGCGACGAGGAAGGTCTCCCTGGCCCCGAGGACGGCACATCTCAGGGCCGTGCCTAGTGCACCGATAGTCAGCAGCGTAGCCATGCACTTGTGAAGAAATACCATATTGAAATTCTTTTTAATGAATACCGTCAATCAGCCCACCATTTTCACGAGAGTTATTCTACCGGTCCGACATGCCCTCGCGTGCTGATCTTTTTGTACCTGATGACTTCGTGACCTTGCTCATCGTATTCCCTCTCCGCCACAATCTTATGCCCCCCGATGGACGGCCAAATCTTGGTCCAGCATAGCCACCAAAAGGCACCGAGAAGCAAAACGCCGACACCAACGACAGGGAAAACGTAGTACGGGTATCCATCCGGATCCGACGAGCCCGTCGGCGGGATAAAGGGCACGATGCACAAGAACGCATTGGCCAGGAGATACAAGACCGAAATGGGCAGGTACGTGTGCCACGGCGACGACCAGTTCTCCTTCTCGGTCCACTGCAGGTAAATAAGGCCGGCACAGACAAACGCGAGGACCCAGGCGCCGGGGTAGGTGTACAGATCGACGATGAAATTGTAGGCGGGCCCGGCCGGCGGCGCGACGAGCACAATGACGGTGACGATCCAGTGCAGGAACAGGGCGGCGGCGGGCGCGTTGAAGGGCCGGTTGGAGGCCCAGAAGCGGCTGAAGGGGAGAAGGCCCTCCTTGGCAAACTCCTGGTTGAGACGGGCGTGGGCAAAGCTGACGGCGAGGACGTTGCCGAGGTTGGAGATGCAGACAAATACCGGCAGGACGCGCGTGCCCGCGTTGTCACCAAACATGTTCCGGAAGTAAACGCCAGCAACAAGGGCTTCAGACGTCGCGAGCTGGCCCTTGGGAATGGCGGCAAAGTAAGCAATGTTCGCGAGGACGTAGAGAATCGTCACGCCGACGACGGCGAGGGGTGCCGCAATGGACAGCGTCCGCTTGGGGTCTTTCAGCTCGCCGACGACGTAGTTGGCGTTCTCCCATCCCTTGTAGCTGTACACGACGCGCAGCAGCGCGGTCGCGTAGCCGTAGGCACCGCCGTTGCCGTATCCGTCTCCTTCTTCGATGCGGAACGCGTTGCTGAAATTGTCGGGATCAGGGACGCGGCGGTGGCCAGCCAGAGCGGCAAAGCCCGAGAAGACAATGAACAGCAGGATGACGACTTTGAAGACGCCGAGGACGTTGATGAGGCGCAGTCCCCATTTGGGCGCGACGGCGTGAAGAAAGGTCGCAAAGGTCGCGCAGGCGACGGCGATGCCTCGAGCTGCCCAGCCATCGGGACTTTCGCTGCCGGAAGCGAAGAGGACGTATCGACCGAAGGCGAGGGAATTTCCAGACGAGAAGCCAAGCAGGATCATCTGCGAGGCAAGAACACACGTCGCAAGGTATTTAGGGTGACCTGGTGAGGGTAAGCGACCAAGTTTTGCCTCAGCGACGGGGGTAGGCAGAGTCACTGACGGTACACTCGCTCGAGATAGTTCTTTTCGCCTCCAGATCGGGGGATCGCGAGACCGAATTCGAGGAACACACTAATACCGCACATTGTGAGGATTCCGCCAATGACCCAGAGCATGAGACTGATGCCAACAGAGCCGGTCGCCGCGAAGACGCCAGAGGGGGTTGAAAATACTTGGGACAGGTAAGCTCGAGATCACGGAGCGACGTGCCGATTGAACAACATACTGCCGGTACCGATCATCTTGTTCAAGATGAGGAAGACAGCGCCTGTGATACCAATCTTGCGATCCTCAGTGTAGGCATAGACTTCACGGTGTCTGGTGCTGCCATCGCTCTCGTCCGAGTGGTAGGCGGGCGGACCAGGCTCCAGCCCCGACGGCTCGGGGGTGGTTTTCTTGTCGGCCATGGCTGGTCGGGGTTGTCGACTCGAAGGGGAAGGGATACGATGGTGGTGATGGGTGAGGCGGAGAGAGGGGGACCTGAGCGCAGAATCACCTCGTGAGACCCGTGTGGGCAGGCGCGACAGCTACTTGAGCTGTGCGGATAACAATGCTCGCGGGAAAGAGGAGCAGATCAGGTCATTTCCGACCAGCCGACGGCGCAACGGTCATCATATATACTCGGACACGAATGTGAGCTCCTAGGCACGCCATCCTTGTGCCACGTTGCGCAAGATTAAGACTTGGGGGCTTGCCGTCCTCAGGGTTCGAGAAAAACGGCCAAGAGCCACCCGCTATGCAGCGGCAGAACCTGGGCCAAAGCCGTCAGCAGTCAGCAGCCCGTGAAGGAAGAAGCGTGAGTGGTGAGCAGTCGTTGCTCCGGCTCAGGTTGGGGCGCGAGAACCAGGATCAAGGTGGTGTTTCTGATGTCATCCCTGCTCGACGCGGAGAGAGTCATGCGTCGAAGGATCAGCCGGGCCTATCAAAGAGCTTCCTGAAAGGGCAGGTCAATACAGTTCCAATGCTGGACATGTTTTTTCTTCGCGGGGGCCCAGGCAGACTCCGACATGGCTCGTTGTTGATGGGCTGTGTTTGGTAGCAAGAATGGGTGGAATTAGGCGGGCATCAATCTGAGGTGCGTAGGTTCGGGAGGAGGACCCGCCAAGCCGCTAGCTTGTACCCCAGCCAGTGATATGCACGATGAAGTATTAGCGTCCTCGCCGCTTTAGAGATGAACTTGCCTTGTCAGGGCTCAGCCACACAGGCCATACAGGCTACTTGACTCGATTCTGCCATGGAATACCAGGGCTAGTGTCAAGGAGACCACGTCTTTTCGCATCGATGTCCGTCAACAGCAAACACAGAGGTTGTGGGGGTATCCTTCTCTAGGCCAAGATGGAAAAAAAAACTGAAACCAGGCAAACCAAACTTGCGGTAGAACAACAAGCTGTGGCCATCAGCAATTTGGCCAAGGGTCTTGGTGGGCGGTTTGGGGGTAGGTATAGGCTGTGTTTGGGAGCATGAGCATTGGTTTCCCTCTTGGACAGACAGATCTTCCTCGATCATGCCAGCTTGTCGCCTCGCCGGAAAATCAGGACTCACAAATTCAACCTGTCTTGAGTCGCAGAGCAACTGAATTAAAGCACATACGACCATACCTACTGGAGAACTCGGGATCCCGTCCGCTCTCCCATAGATAAGCCAGTAAGGGTCGGACTAGTAGTTGGGTGGGTGACCACCAGCGAATCCCTGATGTTGTATGTTTTTGTTTTTGCCCCGTTGATCGTTCATATCCTGATCATTGTACCATTTCCATCCAGGTTTGTTGTGTCTATGTACATGCCAATCTACCAATGGACGGGTCCATTTAACTTCATAATCACAGTACTCTCCCTCTCTAGTCTGTGGATAGATGCGATCCTTTCACGATCTTGGGACGGACAGTCTTGGTGGTCTTCGGAGTGGTGGAGTCGTGAGTTGTGAAGTGAAGGCAACAGACGACCTAAAATTTGTTGTGCAGCTGAGCCACATGCACTGAATGCCCTACAAGCAGTATTAAAGCAGCAAGGCCTGTTCCTGCCACCTCCCGTATCCGTCGTTCTTGGTGCCCATCTCAGTCGATTGCGTGCTCACATCCCGGCGATCGACCCCGTTGCCATTGGATTGTTGCTGCGGGGTGCCCACCAGGGTCAGATTGTGGCGCGCACATCGCTGGTCAGCCACGGATCGAGTAGGCGGTCGCTGCCGGCACTGGAAGCTTAATGTCCGATGCCAACACGGCTGCGGCGTATTTGCTGCCCGGGGTAGGTGCGCTAACCACAACAACGGTGGATCTTTCCACAGAAGAAGCAGTAGGAAGCATCTCCATCAGCCTCAATCTCAACGCTTGCTTGCCTCCCCCCAACCACTCTTCGACTGTCTCCGACCATCCTCATCTCATGACCCCCCCGTATCGCTCTTCTTCTTTCTCACCCATATCTCCTCCACCGGATCCCCTTTGCCCTTGATACATATCCATTCGCCAATCCCATGCTTCTCAGACGCTGTCCTGACGCCACGACCACCCCCACCAATAATGAGGTTGCCTGGTCGATACGTGGGATCCATCTCGAGCCTCCGAATCACGCTTCCGTGCACACGTACATTCTCTGGGATGTCGCGCACCTCTCCGCGGGGCAGCGGCCATCGGATCGGCTTCCATGACCCGTCGGGCCGCAGGTCAAGTCGCCGGAAGGGCATCCATTCCATGAACCGCCAACCACAGACTGAAAGGCGCGGTACGCCCCGCCCGAACCGCAGCGAGTCGTGAAGGTCGGACAAGTGGGCATCTCGAAGCATCTCCTCGAACTTGGACCTCGCATCGCTCGGCGGAGCTGGCTCGTCCTGTACATCTTGCTCGAGAACATTCGGCGAAGAAACACCCGGAGACGGCGCATCAATGTGGATCTCGGGAATGTCCAGGTGCGCCGCCTCGCACTCTCCCTCGTGATCATCGGCACACTCGATGCATCCGATCTCTTCAAGCTGCCGTACATCCAGGCTCAAACCAGCCCGCATCGCCTCCCTGACCATCCACACGAGGGGCACGTGGCTGGAGCTCTTCTGACCTGGTATTACATCCCAGCCACCGCCAATGTCAGCGTGCCCGCCCGCAAACCAGACTTCATCAATGTCTTGCTCATCGTCGTCCGAATCGTAGCCAGCGTCGGGCACGGGCGCCCGGGAGGCCAATGATGTATTGTCGCTCATGCCACGGCTTGTAGCGCGCGACCTCGACCTAGAGCGGTTCCGGTACCGCACCGGGTGATCCGCGTCATCGGGCAGGAGCTCGTTTGGCGCATCTCGGCCTCGACCGGCACTGCCTGGGATATCGTTGGGATCGAGCGCAACGCGCTTTCCCGGCCGGTATTTCTCCTGAAACTCGTGCAGCTTATCGTTGAGTGGGTTCTTCTCCATCAGCGAGTGGCCCAAGGCGTCCTTTTTCGGCTTTTTGCATTTCTTCTTTTCTTGGTAGATGAGGTCCTGTCTGAACTTGGCGCGTCGCTCGTCGATGCTGACAGCATGTCGGATTACCTTGGCTGAGCTCCGAGCCGTGTACGGAAACTTGTCGCGCTGCATCCACGCCGTCTCGAAACGCGGCACGCTGTTGACACAATCAAAAAGCCCAAGGAACCGGATCCGCCGAATCGGCCGCGAAAATGTTTCTCGGAACCCCTTCAGAAACTTGTACATCTTTTCCTTGTCCTCTTTGCCTTCCGGCGTCGAGTTGGCCCGTCGACATTGCCACTGCGAAAAGGCGTTCCACGCAAAGATGACCATCTCCTCGTTGCCGTGCGCAAGGAGACCGACGTAGTCGAGCATTTCTGCCAGGAACCTTGCTACATACGCCCCACGCGAGAAACCGAACATGTAAATCTCGTCCCCGGGCGAGTAGTAGCGCATGAGGAATCGGTAGCCACCAACCACGTGCTGGTCGAAGGACGACCCAATGGCCGAGTCCTTGGCCATCTGGTACCAAGAGCTAGCCCTCGACCGAAGGCCTGTGTGGGAGATGTTCTCCGAGACCACATAGGTTCCAATGCCAGCTGAAACTCATGTCAGCAACAGGGCCTGAATACCCGCGACGCATCATTCCGTCACAACCACAACGTCGCTTCCTCCCGTGCGTCAACTTACGTTGGTAGTATTGGTCTACATTCGCATTAGCCATCGTGGTCAGGCACACGGACAACGGGGTCATGAATCTTACACTGGTCATCCGATGAACTGTCGAGCATCCGGAAAATTTTCAAAATGTTGCTATCGCTTTCATCGCCGTGGAACTTGTTGCCCGTCCCGTCGAAGCACAGGACCAGTTTCCTGGTCCTGTGCCAATTATCGACATTCTGGCTGGCGTTGGTGGGATTCGTCGGATCCATGGCCACGTTTGAACTCTTGGCTTGCGTACCAGCTTGGCCGAGAACATGCGCCATGCTCAGGGATGGATTGTGGGAGGACTGACGCTTTACAACTTTCGTAGCGAGCAGGCTTATCTGCCGAAAGCTATATCCCTCGCTTCCGCAGGTAGCGCCAGCTCTCAGTCGGCACGGCGGGCTTCCGCTCTTTGATATACCAGGGTTGTCGACCAGGACGCATGCTCCCCCAGAGACCATGCTGCGGGCGACGGGCCTCGCGTACCAGGGACATCTGACCCCACCGCTGGCTGACATTACGATACACCGGAACTGATCTGCGCGTGTGGCTGGCTGAGCTAGACACGATCTCGGCCCTCCCATGGACAGCACCGAGCCTTCACATCATTGGCAGGGACCTCTTTTCGTCAAGCATCACAGACATTTGACGTTGCCCTATTGCGCGGTATCCCAGTGCCCATCCCTGTACCCGATGGGCGCGAGGCGTTTTCCGTTGACTCTGGGAATGCAGCAACGGCGCGTGTGCTACAGCGTGCGAGAAAGGTGCCATGCCACGAGAGCCAGTCGCGTGAGACAATACCCATCGACAACATGGACCCAACTCGCATTGATTGCCTGTAATTCGACTGACAACTCCAAATATGAACCCTGACAGGGCGAGCGGCACCCCTCTGGAGCACATCGTCCGTGCGTGATCGATGCTTGCCGGCGGGCCCCTACAGGGGAAAAGCAATATGGTCTCACATGTCCCAGTCCCCGTCACGTTAGTCTCAATAGACATTGCCCTTGGGTTTCACAGTGCTTTTATTGGCTCAACGTGGCATACGGATGCGTCGACGAGCAGCATATCAAGCGAAAGCAGAAGCATGCATGGCCGTCGGCCTGTCGCTGCGGAAGCTCCGATGAGCACAGCGTTTGCACATCACATTTGCACTTCACATCCCCAAAAGCTTGTGATCACGCCGACCCATCAGTTTTGTCGTAACGCGTCTCGCATTTGTCGAGCTTCAAGAATTCATCGGGTCCCGTTGTCAATTTGGTTCTTGCATAGCATAAGCGATACTGTTCGGACGAAGGCTCGAGATACAGACCCCCACGACGCTCAATATGTGGCTAACGTCACTAGATTTACGGGCTTGCAGAAGCCCCTCCTAGCCGTCCAGGTGCGAACGTCCTGATCTACCAAGATCACCAAGGATCGCCCGGATCAGAGAAGCATCCCAGCGCTCCAAAGCTAGCCTGGGCACACTGATCAAGCATCGTTTTCCAGTCATTTACGTGCCACGCAAGCCACCATCACACGCAGCTGGTCGAAATGAGCAACTGCCGCTCGTGAGCTGAAGCATAGCTGCATGGAGAGTTGAGGCGGGCCGCGCCGGAGCTCCAATAGCGTCTCCGTCTAGGCTGGTCGACGACAGCCAATCGAGACAGGCGCGAGGAAGATCTGTGTCTTCGGCTATGTGCCAAGCGGCCAGCCGTCAGTTCAGAGGTCAAGCGCAAATTGCGCAAACCGGGTAGCACCCTTCACGTAGAAGATATGTTTTACAAAGATGGCACTTTCTATTGGTCAACAGTCGGTCAAGTGTGTCCCTCGAGGGTGGGACGGAGCAAAAAGCATGGGGGACTCTAGATGTCTCAGTCAGCTCGGCTCCCTTCTCCCAGGTTGAGGGGTGCCAAGTACTGTGTACACAGCAGGTAGAGTGGTTCTCGAGATCATGTCTTGTGCATGGGCACCGATCGTTTTGGTATATATGGCCGGGCATAGGTGGCCGTGGTTGCTTGGAACCTTCGTCCCTTGTCCTCAGAGACTGAAGCGTACGGACATCGGTGCCGTACTTCGGAAGTCATTACACCTCCTTCCATCGCAAGCGAACACCTGTCATAATCAGCAAGGGCCTCCCACGTCGTGAACTTGAAAGTAAAGAACGCTGTTAGAGACAGTCAAGGTATGTCATGGCGTGACGGAAATGTCCCCAAACCTAACAAATGGATAGCCTCTCCAGCGCACGGTCTCGCCATGAAGAAAGATTCAGACGCGTCGCACGCTTCGAGCGGTTCGTCTACGCAGCCCGGACGCATAGACCCTGCTGTCAATGGCAATGTCCGCAATGCCGAGACGAAGGCCAAGCCAATTGGTGACGATGTCTGTGGCGGTCACGACGAGAAGAGTGGCAAGCTCGCTCAGTTCATGAAGTTAAGGAAAGCTTCCAAGCGACCGCTACCCAAAGATCACGGCGATGGTTCCTATGCTGTCGTCCCTGCACGCCCAGGTGTTGTCCAGAACCTCAAGGTTCTTCGGAAGCGAGGTACAGCGTATGGTTTCTAGGACCTTGCGCATCTGCTAATGTCGACATAGACATTCAAACACTAGCAACGATGATCAAGGGTAAGCTCAAGGGCGAGAAAATCAAAGATGACAAAACCATGATCATGGAGTATGTCATTCAAATGGTCGCAAAGTTACCACACAACTCCAGCCTCCGCGAGAAGCTCACGAACACGCTCATCGAGGAGCTGTGGGACGCACTCGACCACCCGCCACTGCTGTTCGTCGGAGATGACTGGAAGTATCGCCGAGCAGACGGTTCGCACAACGTAGGTTCACCCACGCCTCCAAGTCTCGGCCAGACTGCTGAAGCATGAACAGAACCCGCTCTACCCTTGGCTGGGAGCTGCCGGGCAGACATATGCGCGATCTGTTGCGCCCAAGAAGCCAACCCTTGCGGCCCTGCCTGACCCTGGGCTAATTTTTGATTCCATCTTTGCTCGTAATGAGTATACAAAGCACTCGAACAATGTGTCCTCGATTCTCTGGAACTGGGCAACCATCATCATTCACGGTACGTCTACTTAGGCGACGCCCGGCACTGAATCAACTGACACCATGGAGACCTTTTTTGGACCGATTTCCGTGACATTAACAAGTCCAAAACCTCGTCCTATCTTGATCTCTCGCCCCTTTACGGCAGCAATCAAGACATGCAGGACACGATCCGCACCTTCAAGGACGGTAAGCTCAAAGCTGATAGTTTTGCCGACAAGCGCCTCCTCGGCATGCCCCCTGCCGTCAGCGTACTCCTCATCATGTTCAACCGCTTCCATAACCATGTTGCCGAGAATTTGGCAGCTATCAACGAGGGTGGTCGATTCACGCCGCCGTCTCCTTTCCTCGAAGGCGAAGCGGCAGAGGCGGCGTCGAAGAAGTATGACAACGATCTCTTCCAGACGGCCAGACTCGTCACGTCAGGACTGTACATCAACATCACGCTTGTGGACTATGTCCGCAATATTGTCAACTTGAACCGCACTAACACTACTTGGACGCTCGACCCGAGGCAGGAGTCTGGCATGCAAGTTGACACGGCTGAGGGAGCTGAGTCGGGGACTGGCAATATGGTCTCGGCCGAGTTCAACCTCTGCTACCGATGGCACTCGTGCATCTCAGATAAGGATGACAAGTGGATTCAGCAGTTCTATGGCGAGATTCTCGGCGGCCACCAGGGGGAGTTATCGCCCGCCGAGATGGGCAGGATCTTCATGCAATACGAGCGTACGTCTTTCCCCAGTACCATGGATTCCAAAGTTAACCTGACCAGGCTCCATCCCGGATGACCCTATTGAGAGGACTTTTGGCGGATACAAGAGGGGCGAGAACGGCAAGTTCAGTGACGACGATCTCGTCGATTGCGTCAGCGCGTCGGTCGAAGATCCTGCCGGTTCGTTCGGCGCACGTAATGTGCCCAAGGTTATGCGGCCAGTCGAAATTCTAGGCATGCTACAAGCCAGAAAGTGGAACGTCGCCGGCGTAAGCTTTTCCCACGCCCTTACATTTTGTCCCCTCACTAATGCCAGCAGCTCAATGAGTTCCGCAAGCACTTCGGCCTCAAGCCGTACGATAAGTTTGAAGATATCAACTCGGACCCCAAGGTTTCTGAGGCACTGCGCAACCTGTACCAGAAACCGGATAACGTCGAGCTGTACCCCGGTATCGTTGCCGAGGAGGCCAAGTCGCCCATGGTGCCGGGTGTTGGTATCGCCCCCACGTACACCATCTCCCGTGTCGTGCTTTCAGACGCCGTCTGCCTCGTCCGCGGTGATAGACATTACACCACTGATTACAACCCGCGTTATCTGACCAACTGGGGTTTCAATGAGGCCAACTACGACCTCAAGATAAATCACGGCTGCGTGTTTTACAAGCTGTTCATCCGCGCATTCCCGAACCACTTCAAGCACAACTCCGTCTACGCTCACTATCCTATGGTCATCCCCTCAGAGAATCACAAGATTCTGACGGACCTGGGCCGCGTCGACCTGTTCAACTTTGACCGGCCTGCATTCACGCCACTGCGCGTCAACGTTACCTCGTACGGCGGAGCCCAGCACGTGCTGGAGAACAAGGCTGCGTACCGCGTCACATGGCACGAAGGTCTGGGAGCTCAGATGGACGAGGGCGGCCACAAGTTCATGCTCGCTGGCGACACCGACTTCCACGCCGGTCAGAAGCAGTGCATGGCGAGCCAACTGTACAAAACCGACTGGCACGCCGCCGTGCGTAAGTTCTACGCCGACATCACGGAGCAGCTTCTCCAAGAGAAGTCCTATACCCTCGGAAACACCCGCCGGCGTCACGTCGACCTCATCCGTGACGTTGGTAACATCACGCACGTCCACTTTGCGTCGCGCGTCTTCAACTTGCCCCTCAAGACGGCTGCCAACCCCAAGGGCGTCTTCTCGGAGCAGGAGCTCTACCAGCTGCTGGCGGTCATCTTTGTCGGCATCTTCTTCGATTTGGACCCCGTCAAGTCGTTCCCGCTGCGACAGGCTGCGCGCGAGGCGTCGCAGACGCTCGGAAAGGTGATTGAGACGAATGTCAAGTTGGCAACGACGCTCGGCATCCGCGGCCTCTTCACAGGCAAGGCGGACAAGAACGACCCGCTTGCCGCGTACGGCACGAACCTCATCAAGGGACTCAAATTATCTGGTCTCAACAACTATGATATTGCGTGGAGCCAGATCCTCCCTACAGCGGGCGCCATGGTGCCCAACCAAGCACAAGTTGTAAGTTCCCTTGATGGCATGGAATTTCCTTTCCGTGGGACGTGGTACTAACATGCTCCAGTTTGCTCAGGCGGTTGACTACTATCTATCGCCTGCCGGTGCCGCGCATATCCCTCAGATCCACGTCATCGCCAAGCAGCCGCCCAACAAGGACAACGACGCTCTCCTTCTCGGCTACGCCATGGAAGGTATCCGTCTCGCTGGCACTTTCGGCGCCTACCGCGAGGCCGCAGCCGACGACACGATTCTTGAGGATGATGGACGCCGCGTCGAGGTCAAGAAGGGCGACCGTGTCTTTGTCAGCTTTGTTGGCGCGGCGCGCGACGCTGCCCACTTCCCGAACCCGGAGGTCGCGGACCCCCGCCGTCCGCTGGGGGCGTACATTCACTACGGCCTCGGGCCACACGCGTGCCTCGGCCGCGAGGCGAGCCAGGTCGCGCTCACGGAGATGTTCAGGGGTCTCTTCCGCAGACGGAACGTCAGGAGGGAGCCGGGCCCGCAGGGCGAGCTCAAGAAGGTGCCGAGACCCGGTGGGTTCTTCGTCTACCTGAGGGAGGACTGGGGTGGCGTGTGGCCGTTCCCGTGCTCCATGAAGGTCATGTGGGACGAGGACGAAGTCGCCAACGGGGCCACGAACGGGACCACGAACGGGGCCACGAATGGTCAAGAGGGGTCCGCCTACGAGTCGAAGGACAAGGCGACGGCGTAGGGGTGGTATAGAAGGGGCGGTCGCTGGAGAGCAAATTGTATGTCTGTCGTATGATATCCTGGAAAATTGACACTTGGTGCCGCGTTCAAAATGCGACGTTCTTGGTGTTCTTGTCTGGGTGACTGGTTGATTTGTCTGCTAGTTATTCTGCCACGTTTGTGCATGCCTGGTCTGTCCAATTTTGTCCCCTTGATTAGGTCCCCTCGACTCAAAATAGGCTAGAATCGTCACATTTGATACCTTGACGTCAACGGCGGAGACGTCTTCTGGCCGAGGATGGACGCTTGTCGAAGATCAACGCATAGTCTGGAGGGCGGTGGATCTAGTCGATTACGATCTTCAAAGGTGGAAACCTCACGTTCATCATTATCAAACTCGAATGAGTATCGAGACTGCGTGGCTGGATTTTGCAGGCGTTCTGCCTCATCGTATTTGAGGAGAATGTCTGATATGAGTGTGGTGGACTGTGCATCGGTATTCCCTGACTGCTATTTTCTCCTGAAGACACATCTGCTTTCGCTACCACCTGCGATGGGTGGTTACTTTGTATGGAACAGACAGCTGTCGGTGGAATCGAAACACAGACAATATACCGGGCAAGAACTGGACAGGCCAGTGTATTCTAACGAGGCAATTTCTTACAAGCACGCAGAAGCCCTGGGAAGTTGCTCGTCGTTCGAAAAAAAGAATGGCTGCGGGTGGAATCGAACCACCGACCTCCCGGGGAAGGCAGAATGATCTAGGTTCTAGGTCTGCGAAAGCGGAATTTTTCTAGGGAGAAGAAACCCGGGCGCTCTACCACTGAGCTACGCAACCTTGTTGGGGGAGCTCCAGACACAGTTTGTTCATGGAGGAATCGGAAGGTCGCAGCAGATCGGCGGAGAGGCCATCAGGGTGAATGGGTGACTGGTTGAGCCCATGAGGGTGCGGTTCGTTCTTGAATGTTCTAGCAATAGAGACCAAAACCACAACTGAAAAGAGACGAAAAGGGGGAAAGGAAACGCTGCGTCCCATCATGCCTTGTACACAAAATCCTCGAGCTCCTTGTAGGCCGTCTCGAGGTCCTCGTTGATGATGACCTTGTCGTGGACGCCCGTCTCGGCGTAGGCCAGCTCAACCTTGGCCTGGGTCAGGCGCTTCTGGATGCTCGCCTCGGACTCGGTGCCGCGGCCGCGCAGGCGGCGCTCGAGCTCGTCGGCCGAGGGGGGCGCGACGAAGACGTAGCGGGCGTCGATGTCGCTCTTCTGGACCTGCTTGACGCCCTCCATCTCAATGTCGAGCACGACGACCTTGCCCTTGGCCGTCTGGTCGGCAATGGTCTTCTTCGAGGTGCCGTAGAGGTTGTCGCCGAACTGGGCGCTGCAGAGACAGGTTAGGTTTGAGACGAGCAGGGGGGGCACGGAGACGGAGGGGAACGCACTGCTCAACGAAGCCGTCGTGGGCGACCAGGTCACGGAAGGCGTCCTTCGTGACGTAGTGGTAGTCGACGCCGTCCTGCTCGCCGGCGCGGGGTCCGCGGGTCGTGTGCGAGACAGACAGGGTGAAGGTGTCGGGGTGACGCTGGAAGAGGAGCTTGAAGAGGGTGCCCTTGCCGACGCCCGAGGGGCCGGAGATGACGAGGGGCCGTCTGTCGGTAGGGAGTTCGGAAGCCATGGTGCTGCTAGGGAGAGCGAGCCGGCGACGGGAGGCGCCGTGACGAGGGACGGGAGGTCGGATTGAGGGTCGAGGGAGGGCCGAGGTGACGCATCGCAGCATCCTAACAGAGGGAGGGGTCGGACGCCAGGTTGACGCTGGGGAGTAGGATTTCTGTCGTGGGGGCTTGCCCAATGTGAAGATCCACTGCCTAGCGTCGCGGGGCACATCGACGGCAGGCGTCACTGAGGACACTGAGGGAAGGTGGGGTTGTTCGGCGGAACATCGGTCAGTAGACTGGTGCCTGCCCTCTGTGTGTGTGTCTCTCTCTCTCTCTCTCTCTCTCTCAGGGGCAGGCACCATCTATGCTGACTCATCCATCGGTGCCTGGCCTCCTCTCTCTCTCTCTCTCTCTCTCTCTCTCCACAAGGCAGGCAATCCCCCCCCACCACCAAAATACGAAGACTCAGCCTCTGCCCATCGCCACGCCAGAGCCAAAAATACTTCTCCCCACGCGCATGGATACTCGGCACCGCTACGAATCGTCGGAAACACCATCGACACGCCATCATCTACTAACCTGCCCGCTCACGCTCACCTGAAGTCCTCATACCACTGCAAACCGTTTTCTGCTGCGCCTCTCCTCTCGTGTCATTTCCGCTGCCGCGTGCTGACGCGGGCTGACGGCACCGCATCGTCTTTGATGATACTAAGACCAGGGGCCCCCAATCCCCCCCCCCCCCCCTCGCCTGTACCTCCCCGACCGGGACTGTTTCCAGCCCACCCCTGGCTGCGCCGCTCGTCCTTTTGCCATGGATTCTTTTGTCATGGATCAATCGAGTCGAAGCACTCGGACCAGTGTCGGAGGCGGATCATCGGATCGACAAGTGGCCCGCATGGCGTCCGCTGCCACAGTCCATCAATCCATCCATCGCCAAGACAATGACTAGTGTGGGAAGAAGGAAGGAAAATACGATCTTCTCTAGTACATGGTAGATTCTTCCATGGCCATGACGAAAGAAACAAGAAGCACCCCAAGCTTGACACTCTGCGCTCGCACTCGCTCTCGCGCTCTGGTCGCCAAGCAACCGTCACTGCAGAGAATGGGCATGAGGAATTTCGGCCGTCACACGTAGGATGCAAGAAAATGTCTGACCCGACCAACCCATTGAACGAGTCGACCAACCAGCGCCGTCCATGCCATCCAAGGTGGTACCCCGAGGGATCGCGCTGCCAGGGGACGCCAGGGCAGCAGGCTACTTCGGGACTCGGCCAAGCGCTCGATCTTGTTGGTCGCCACCTCAGACACTCGTGTCAAGCGGCGGGGTGTATGCGCGTCCCAAGGGGGGGCGTTTGCTGGTTTCTGGTTTGGGGTGTCCGACGCAGAGCTGCGCCGCTGGTCAACAGTTGGTTTCCCCTTGTGGGAACGTCTGGACACCCTAAACAGCGAACGCCGTGCGTGTGAAGGCACAGTTCCCGTGTTTATCATGAGACTTTCCCCCCGGTCCTCCCTGCCCACCCCCTCCCTCCCTCTATCACTTCAATCATTCCTCCTCCTTGAGCACGGCGACGAATACGACGATAGTGACGGCGCTCCGATCGCTGCTGCGTACTCCCTTCTTCTCCATTTAGTCCCTCACTCGCTTGGGGCCTACCATTTACCTATCGACCCTCGCTTTCCCGGTTTCCATTCTACGTACGGTTCCGCGTCCTGAATTAAGAGCAACAGCCTGGGCCTCCCACTTGGTACCTACATTTTGTGACCACCCATTCTATTCAGCAGCATATTTTTTTTTATCGACAAAGAAAAGCAGTACGAATCATCATGAAGACTACGGCTGTCGCATGCGCCCTGGCGGGTCTCGCCATTGGCTCTGCTTCTGCTGAGGGCCCGACCCTGACCGAGCGTCAGGCTCCTCACCGCGCCCGCGCCGTCCCCGTTGTCACGGCCTCCGGTAACGGTATGCTAGACGTTCTTCCTTCCTCTTTCGCATGACTGCAGACTCGTCCAGCGACATGGCAATGCGCTCCGGCAACACAGGCTAACCCGCGCCAGCTTTCTGGGCCAACGGCGAGCGCTTCATCATTCGCGGCATTGACTACCAGCCCGGTAGCTCCGGCAAGAACGATGATCCCATCGCCAACGTTGACACGTGCAAGCGCGACATCACCGAGTTCAAGCGCCTCGGCGTCAACGCTGTCCGCATCTACAGTCTGGACAACTCGGCGAACCACGATGAGTGCATGGGCCTGCTCGCCGATGCCGGCATCTACCTGATGGCCGATCTCAACAGCCCCAAGTACTCCATCAACCGTGATGACCCCGAGCCCAGCTACAACGCCGCGTACCTGCAGTCCGTCTTTGCTACCGTCGAGGAGTTCGCCAAGTACGACAACACGCTTCTCTTCTTCTCCGGCAACGAGGTCATCTACACGCTCAACACGACCACCTCGGCTGAGTACGTCAAGGCGACCACGAGGGATGTCAAGAACTACATGCGGGCCCGTGGTCTGCGCCAGATCCCCGTCGGCTACTCGGCCGCCGACATCTCAGCCAACATCTGGCAGGCCGCCGACTACTTCAACTGCGGCAGCGATGACGCCCGTAGCGATTTCTGGGCTTTCAACGACTACTCTTGGTGCAACACGGACTTTGTGACTTCGGGCTGGAACCAGAAGGTCCAGAACTTCACCGATTACGGCATCCCCGTCTTGTAAGTGATCTCGCTTGACCCCTGTGAGGGTTGTCGGTGGCATCAGTGCTAACCTTGCGTAGCCTGTCCGAGTACGGCTGCAACACCAACGGTGAGCGCAAGTTCAACGAGATCGAGTCCCTGATGCACTCCAACATGACGGGCGTCTACTCCGGCGGCCTCATGTTTGAGTACACCATGGAGGAGAACAACTTTGGCATCATCGAGGTCAAGGACGGCAAGGTCGAGGAGCTTCCCGAATTCGCCAACTTTGCCTCAGCGCTCAGCAAGTGGCCCATGCCCACGGCGGCCACGGCTCTGCACTCGACGACCCACGGCGTCGCCTGCCCGACATCCGCTTCCCTGTGGGAGGTCAACGAGAGCTTGCTGCCCAAGATGCCCCAAGCGGCCGAAAAGGTACGTCCAGAGCAATCATTCATGACGCATTCGCTGACTCGTTTTTCCACAGTACATGGATGACGGTGCTGGCACGGGTCCCGGCCTCGACGGCGATGGCTCTCAATGGAATGCCAACAGCGGCACCGCCACGACGTCGGTCGCCAGCGGTGCCCCCTCTCCCACCGGCCAGGGTTCCAGCAGCGGCGGCGGCAGCGGCAACAACGGCGGCAGCGGCAACGGCGACAGCGCGGCCGCCGGCCTCGCTTCCCACGGCATGCTGTGTGTCAGCTTTGCCGCCGCCGTGGCCACTGTCATGGGTACCATGTTCCTCTGAGACGGATTGGCGTCGTGTCGTTGAGTGTAAGAGGAGCGCGGTGCGACGGGAGGTTTCATTCGGATTGTTTTCGCAGACGGCGGCCCCATTGTGTTAGCTGGGATGCAGCATTGTTAATAGGGATGCTTTGGAAAAGGTTCACTTCTGGCGTCATAAAGTATACTGCCTGTTCTACGTTCATAGGTTCAATACTTATCGTCTCGCTCGTACCAGAGGTCAAGTGTGCACTCTGCATTTGAAGAGGAGAATCGATGGACGTGGCACCCCGACATCGCAGACTGAGTCACCGTGAGAGGCGCTCAACCCCGGGAATAGCCCTGACTCGTGCAGCCGACGACAACCGGCGCTCAATTCCGCACTCGACCTTGGCCTCCGCCATGCGCCCTTCCGGGCTCGGCATGTGTGTGTGCACACGGCCGCCCTCATCGCCGTCCGACTATATAACGGACGCCATGTTCGGAACAGCATTGCAGCAGCATCGCTAGAAAGAAAAGCATGTACCGCCTCACCCCGCGAGCACTCGCCCCCTCCTCTCTCCGTCTCACAACGAGAACCCACGCAACGCGACCCATCCACATCTCCGCAACCCGTCTCCGTTACCAGCCCGTCCGCGCAAGCAGCATCAGCACCAGCACCAGCACCCACAGCAACAGCAACATGGCGACGGCAGCGGCCCCCTCCCCCGCCGCCCCGAGCCTCCCCTACGACAACAAGATCTTCACGTCGGCGTTCAACACGGCCAACGGCGAGGTCTCGTCGGCGACGCGCTTCCACTACCGCCAGGAGGGCAAGATCGTGTGGGCCGAGTACGGCGGCGGGTCCATCGTCAAGGGGTTCCTCATCGCGACGGTGGCGGACGACGAGAGCCTCGACATGCGGTACGAGCACGTCAATGACAGCGGGGCGCTCATGACGGGGCGGTGCCGCAGCGTGCCGGAGCGGTTGGCGGATGGGAGGCTGCGGATGCACGAGACGTGGAGGTGGACATCGGGGGATGGGACGGCGGGGGAGAGCGTTGTGGAGGAGGTGAGGGAGTGATCCGTGGTGCAGAGGGCTCAACTCTTGTGGGTACCGGGGAGGCCTTGTTGCGAAGTCGACTTTTCTTTTTTTTTTTTCCAAGGGCAAGAGGCGAAAGGTTCGGAGGCACTTGGAGACTACTTTTGATTTGGATGGAGAGGGAATCAACTGGCTCTGGATTCGTATTGCGGACCTTACACTCTTGCTCGGTGACTGACCCGAGGCCCCGGTCGAAGCTCCGCTCCGGCGTCGGCCCCACAACTCTAGGAACTTCTGGCGCCATCAGGCCATCTGTGCACTCTGACTACCACCACATCGACAGCCGCCCACAAGGCACTGGCATAAAGTCGTACGCTGAGCCCGAGGACGAGCGCGCTCCATCATGTCGTCGGCCCAATCGGCTCTGCGCTACGTGGCTGCCGCCAAGACGTCGTCCCTCGGCACCCTCTACCTCCACTGCTACGTCAAGCCCGGCGCAGCAAAGGCCCGTGAGGGCGTCACAGGGCTTACGGAGGACGCCATCGAGATATGCGTTGCAGCCCAGCCGCGAGAGGAGCAGGCCAACAAGGCTGTGCTGCGGCTGCTCAGCGAGGCAAGTCCATCTGAAGTCGCTCGGTCGAGAGCTTCCAGGCACTTGACGCAACGTCTGACACGAGATAGATACTCAAGTTTCCAAGGTCAGACTTTCAGATTATCCAGGGTTCGAACAGCCGACACAAGTCTGTTGCTCTGAGAGGCATGGCGGGTGGAGAGGACGGGGTCTGCAGAGTGCTGGACATCCTGCGCCGAGAGGCCGCCGGCTGATGCATGCTGCCGAGACTTGCTGTGCGAGCACTCATTCACTTGTCAGCTTCAACATTTGGGGGTGCCTGTGGCGCGCGGGGGGCTCTAGGTGACTGAAGCCAGGAGAGAAGGCGCAGGCGCCGCACGAAAGCTGGCCGCTGAAGAATCGCCTGCGTATATGAAGAAAACACTTGCTGCCCTGACCCACGCTCCTTTGGCCGCAACCGCATTGTACACAACGTGTTGCTCATCGGCACGATACTTCATTGCAATATGCATCTTTTCGACACGACGATCTTGGAGCTGAAGACGTTTGTTGGCGACATTCCTCTCTGCGCCATACTGTCCCACACCTGGGATCATGACGAGTTTCTTGTTGAGCACCTCCGAGCAGGCACACTTCATGCCCAGTCGTTACACCATGCACGAGGGCTTGGGAAGATACTCGCCACCTGCAAGCTCGCGCGCGGACAATCTTCGAGGTACGCATGGGTAGACACATGCTGCATCGACAAATCCAGCAGTGCTGAGCTCGCCGAAGCGATCGATTCCATGTTCACCTGGTACCGTGGTCAGCAGTTTGCCACGCCGGGAACACTCCGTCCCAGCATTCGTCAACTTCGGTGGCCCAACCGTGGAGCTTTTCTGCCCCGTCTGCGGCGTGTCAGGTGGTCCACTAGGTTATCAAAGACAAACCAGTCGCAGCTATCATTTACGAGACATCCGGACGCACCACGACCCGGGTCGAGGCCACGGCCTACTGTCCGTTGTGCCTCTTCCAAGTCAACATGCCTCTGCTCTACGGCGAAGGCAGAAACGCTTTCAGCAGGCTGCAGATGGGAGGTCCTCGATTCGGACCCCGACCAGTCCATACTGTGCCGGAGAGAGGAAAGTACCGACATGCATCGCCCATTTCACAGCTCGGTCTCCTTCTCGGCACCGGCTCCATCGTGCTTCAGGTTTCTGCTGCCCACATACTTGCTGTCATTTTGCCACAGAGACGTGCGTAGGACGCCAGGCGGGGTCGTACTCGGCGCTTTGCTCGGGCCTTGCTCCTTGACCTTTGATGGGGGGGATGCTTACGCCCGAGACTCACATTGCCTTTCGAACGTGCGCTGTCGAGGCGGATGCTCGTATAGGTCTCGTGGTAAGAATCGACGGCCAATGCGGACTTCACCACACGAAAGACTCCTGTATCAATAAATGTGTGTTCGCTCTCTTGCTCGCGAGCAAATCTTCTCCCGGCATGGCTCGGAGCCGAAGGCCCTGTCGTCTTGGTCAACGGGAAATAGAAGCGCCTTTCGCAGCGCCTTGTCTCAAAATCAAGAACCTTGACCCTCCTTGCAAGTGTAGTGTTGCCCTCTATGCCTCCGGAAATTCCCCTCTTGCTATGAACAGATGAGGAGTCTACAAAGCTGAAACCAAACGTAGTCAAGGGCGACATGGCAGATCTGGAACCCTATGATATACTCCTAGTGGAAATCTGGTCGAGGCTGTATCCGATATCAACAAGAGGGAAATCCGACCCTAGAAGACCGCAAGTGAGGCTGGATATTCGCAACCTACGCGATTACACACTGCGTGCAGCGTCCCCGCCGTCCGGCTTACGGCTCATCCTGAGCTCAGGACACGCGAGCCATCCGAGCCGTCCTTGCGTCAAACTGGACAGTACGCCTGGCGCGAAGACGCGTCTGAACTGGGCCACCGGACTGATCTCCTTTCTCGGGCGCGACGTCCCTGGCTTCTTCCTCTTTTGGCAGCTATCCTCCTGTCCCGCACTGGGAAAACATCATCAACAGGTCCGCTGTTCGGTACGGGCCTGGGCGTCCGTCATGCCATTGCCTTCCTGCACGCCCGAAGACCTGGCCGGCTTCACAACGTAGCAAATGCGCTGTTGCACGTTCGACATGGACGGCTGAGTGAGGTGGCCAGTCGAATTTTCGTGCTATTTTGTCAAGAACTAGAAATCCAGTATTCGCGGATTGAATACCGCATATTGGAGCCGTGGAGTATGAAAACAGGCAAAAACTTAGTAGCATGATCTATCGCCGACAATGGCTATCTAAGATGTATTAATACGCCCCTACGCCAACCACCCAATGCGATGATTTCATGAGATCAAACAGTCTGCTTTCCAGCACAATCCTGCACGCCCTCCGCCTTTTCCCTTCTCACTTCTGCCCTTGCCTTGCGCCTCTCAAGTCGTTCCTGTTCCTCTCTCATTTGTCTGATCAACGGACTCTTCGCGCGAATCCTCTCGCCGTACCTCCAGAACGCCAGTGGCACCGGTATGAGCGCAACCTCGAGTAGCCCCAGCAGCGTCCCTGCCCACTGTGGCGACAACGTTGTGTACATGGCCGGGCCGGCGAGCGGCAGTACCCCGCCAGCGATGCTGCGAATGACAGCATTGCCGGCGAGAGCCGAGGCGGCGTAGATGCCGTAGGCGCCAGCGAGATAGTTAGATCCATAGATGAAGGAAAGAGTGTTTCCGGCGCCGAAGGGGATGCCAAAGGCGATGGGGATGGCCCAGTGTATCGTGACGGGCAGACACGTCCAGGAGAAGACGAGCTGACCGAGAGGCGTGAGTATGGCGCCGAGGACCATGATGCGGGCGGCGGACTCGGGCAGGGGACGGCCAGTCGCAGGGTCGTGTCGATGCGCGTTGACGATACGGCGGAGCAGGGGCTCGGCAAAGATGGCCATGAGTGTGCCTATGCCGATGCCGAGGAACGCGAGGCCCGACGTGCCAGGGCCCCAGCCTCGGTGCTCAGAAAAGACGATGGGATAGGCGATGAAGCAGAGGTAGAGAATGGCGTAGATGACAGAGATCCTGTGAGGGTGAGCAAGGGGATCGGCGAAGAATTGGTCGAACCCAATCTTACCAGATGTTGGCAGCCCACAGAATCGGCTCTGTCGCGGCTAGTATAAAAGGGCGGCTCATGTTCGTCTTGATGAGCTCGACCTTGGATACCTTGGCGTCGTACCTGCACCACCACCGAGGGTCGTCTGTCTCCTTGCGTATCTTGGCCGCCTTCCGTTGGAGCAGGGTTGGAGCATACGTCTCCTTGACGGTAAACATCATGATGATGCTAACACCTGCGATGATGAGCACGAGCCAATTACACCACCTCCATCCAAGATACTGAAAGACAAAACCGCCAATAATGGGTCCAGTCACAGGTCCGTTGAGAGGCGCAATAGACCATAGCGACATGTACTTGGCGCGGCGATCCTCGGTGGAGATGTCGACAATAGTGCCCGGGCTATTGGAGATCAAAGCAGCACCGAACATGGCTCTAGCAGGAGGTCAGCTATGTTCTGGGACTGGGTTGACTGGCCATAGATAGAGTGACTGACCCAACGAATCTGCAGGCAAACATTTGTTCCAGTGATGTCGCGAGGGCACAGGGAATGATCATAATTGTTGACAAAACCATGCACACAATATAGATCTTGCGACGACCATAGAGCTCGCTCAGCGGAGCAACAACAAGGCTTCCTGTCGCGAGACCAAGAAGGTACGTGGTGACTCCCAGTGCCGTGTACGATTTGGAGGCGTTGTATTCCTCCATGAGACCCGGGATCGAGGCGGTGTAGCTGGTGCTGTACAGGACCACGATCCAACACGAGATGGAGACGACAAACATGACCCAGGCACGATACCACTTGGACCAATTCCTCGGGTTCTCGGGGTCGTCTGGGCTGAACTCGACCTCGAAATCGGGTGGCCGAGAGGCAGTGCTGGCTTCTGTTCGAACGCGTGACAGCGGCTCACCCGCGACAGACGCCTCCTCGATTTCGTAGTCGGTGTCGCGGCGCAGCGCCTTCTCCAAGACATCGTGTGACGAGTCGGACTCGTCGCATGGATGTCCAGATGCTGGCTTGGTGCCTGACCTGGTCTTGTCGTTGTTTCTGTGCACGGATGGGGTTGATGACCTCCAGTTGCCTCCGGCTCCGGCACCCTTTTCCGGGTCGGGCGAGGAAGGCATGCTGTCTGTCTCAAACCGCCGGACGAGCACACGGTCCGGCACGCGACAAAGTGGGCTCAGTCTCACAAAGCGGAGCGAAGCGAGCTGTGACACGGAGGGACCAATTTGACAGGCGACAAACAACAAGCGCCGAACATCGGGGCCGTGGAAGCGCAGAAGCTGAGAAGAACAGATGATGAGTGAACAAGGCGGCACTCGGGAGCGGCGAAGGAGAAGCAGAAGTCATATGTAATGGAGTCTTATGGGCCCCACACCCCACAAAGGTGCAGCGGAGGCTTTGGGTTGGCGAAGATGAAAAAGAAGAAGCGGCGAACGTGGTTCCCATCCATCGGTCCATCTGCGCAAGGCGTACCAGGGTCTGAGGAGGGTGGGGGTCCGTTCGGGAATAGCGGCGGATGTTGAAGGCCTGAGGGCACGTTCACTACGTGCGGATAGAGGTCAAGGGGCGACTGCAGCTGCAATGTTAGCTCTGATGATCGATAGCGTGCTAGGCAAAGACGTGATTCTCTCTTGGCGTTGATCACCTAGGCCAACCGACGATATGCTTTTGCGGGGTCAGCCGAGGTCCTTGACATGGCAGACAACGGACACGACCAGTGAGAGAGGGGTTTCACGACTTGTCCCCATGCTCCTAGTGACAGGACTGCCGACCTAGAGAGCGTGCTAGCATCGGCAACAGTATGCGGCTGGCCAGCGAGAATGGGGTTAGCGGTGAAAGGATCCCCGCAGTGTGCTGTAGGCACTGTCGGATCCGATTTGCGGACGAGAACGGAGATGAACTGGGCTGGTTTTTCCAAAGACCAGGCCTTTGGTCAGGCTGAGCACACACTAGACGTTGGCCGACAATGTATCTCGACGTCTTCCTTTGTACATTGATGATACTCTAGGGTAGTATTGGCCATGGCCGACAGGGAAGTTAAGGTTGACAGTCTGCACGAAGGCAGTAGCAGCAGTGGTAGAAAAGCAATACTGAGAAGATGAATTACCTAAGCAGGGTCATGAGCCCCACCTCGATAACCAGACTCCACCCAGATAGCTGAAAAATAGCAAGAGCAACGGAAAGCAGCAGCAACAGCGCCAGGAAGCAGCTCCAGCTCGAAACTCGATGCACTCCGATCGACGACGGCGATCCATGACCACGACCCGTGCCGAGCTCATCTCTCATTGACGCCTCAACCCGACGAAGCGCGACGACACCATCGGCGAATCATCCGAAAACGACACACAGGGACCTTGTTGCGACATCATTGATGTTCACTGTGCTCCACAAACACTTGACTGCTCGCGCCCTCATCTCGTCAACCCTCCGCCCGCCTTGGGTCTTTCCCTCTCGGGTCTCTACCTTGACCATCCGCTCCTACGCCCACACCAACACATACACCCGTCGCAGCCAGCGTCGGCCACCGCTCTCTCCGACCATGGCATCAGCCTATGCCGCTTTCTCCAAAGGCGGCTACTCTCAGCAAACTGCTCCCCCAACATCCTCTCCCACCGTCACAGCTCTCAACAGATGGAGCATCTTGACCAATACACAACTCCCAGGTCCGCCACAACCCTACCAAGCTCCCTGCTAAGCTCTCTGGGCCCCTGAATCTGACCAGCTTCTCAGCCGTCGACACAATCAAGGCGTTACACGTCTATGATTTTGACAACACCCGTAAGCAGTAGCCCCTTCTCCCCCACGGGTCAATGCCTTCTGCTACGTCATACTCAAACACGTTCGCCATAGTCTTCAAAACCCCCCTTCCGAACCCCGCCCTCTGGGTTGGCACCACAATCGGCACCCTCAGTAGCCAGGACACCCTGATCAACGGCGGCTGGTGGCATGACTCTCGTATCCTCGCTGCCACGGGCGAGGGCGCCGACGCCGAGGAGAAGCGCGCGTGGGACGGCTGGTGGAACGAGAAGATTGTCGAGCTCATCACCCTGAGCACCAAGCAAAAGGACGCATTGTGCGTCCTGCTCACCGGCCGCTCCGAGCGCGGCTTCTCCGACCTCATCAAGCGCATGATCAAGAGCAAGGGCCTCGAGTTCGACATGATCGGCCTCAAGCCCGCCGTCAGCCCCACGAACCAGCACTTCAAGAGCACCATGCATTTCAAGCAGCTATTCCTCGAGGCCATGATGGAGACGTACAAGAACGCTGAGGAGATTCGCATCTACGAGGACCGACCCAAGCACGTCAAGGGCTTCCGCGACTTCATGGCCGACTACAACCGCCGCCAGAATGGTCCCACGCCGCACCTGCGCACCCGCGGCCCCATCAACGCCGAGGTCGTCCAGGTCGCCGACATGACGACGACCCTTGACCCCGTCGCTGAGGTCGCTGAGGTTCAGCACATGATCAACCTGCACAACGAAGCCGTCTCCAAGCCTCAGCAGCAAGCACAACCGCCGCACATGCGTCCCAAGCGCCTCGTCATCAAAAAGACCGTCTTCTTCACCGGCTACATGCTCGACAAGCAGGACACGACCGAGCTCATCAAGATAGCCAAGGCCCAGATCCCCGCCGGCATGCCTGACCACGAGCTCAAGTTCCACGCCAACAACATTCTCATCTGTCCCCGTCCCTGCCCGGCCTCCATCCTCGATAAGGTCGGCGGCATGGGCGCCAAGATGAAATGGGAAGTCACCGGCACCGCCTGCTACGAGAACTCCATCTGGGCCGCCTGCCTGCGCCCGCTGCCCCCCAATGCAAAGTTCCACACCGACAACCCGTCGCCGTTGGTCGTTCTCGCTCTGCGCAAGGGCGCACGCCCTGTCGACGCCGGCAAGATCCAGAACTGGCAACCCGTCTCCGCCGACCGCGCTCTCAGCTTTGAGACGACGGTAGGCGAGAAGGTCATTCTGCGCATCGAGGCCGAGGACCCTCGCGAGGACGAGTACGAGTCGCTGTTCGCCAACAAGGGCGCCAAGAGGAAGCACGCCGGCGACGAGGTCGGCGCACAACACAACCACGGTGGACAGGGCGGACAGAACCACCGTGGCGGCCGCAACGAGCGGCGCGACTTCCACTCAGGCGGACGCGGCGGGCGAGGAGGCAACAACAACAATAACAATAACTTCCGCGGCGGCGGGCGCGGCGGACGTAACGGCGGCCAGCGAGGCAACGGCAAGGGCGGTCGTGGGGGACGCGGCGGCGGCGGCGGACACGGTTACCGTAGTTTGGATGACGTGGAGCCTCGCAATCAGCAGGGCGGGTATGGAACGACGGTGGAGTACGACGAGCCAACTACCAGTCCCGGCTTCCAGCAGGGTCGGGCGGGAGGCGCGGCCTACAGTGGCGGCAACAATGCGGACTTGCAGAACTACTATTAGGCGCATCGTTTTGTGTAGTGTCGGGACCTCGAAGAGCCTGTAGGGCCTGAACGCCCGAGGGCGGCCAATGGGAGGGGTAATTCGGTGGTGAAAACAATCTGCAGACGGTCACTCTGCGCCAGAAAGGGGAGGGATTGGGGGCATGGTTTCGAGTGGACCAACTTCGCGGTCGCGAGGCTCACGTTTCAGTGCGCGGACACGGCGTTTTGTATCTCTTGACTTTCTTCGAGCAGCAACGGCGTCAGGGGCAATGGAAATGGGGAAAGGAGGGGGGAGCAGAAACAGACAGGCTTGTCTGTGAGATGTTCCTCCAAGGTCATACCCAAGATCACCATAGGTAGCCCGCAGCATGGGCCGTGTCAAATGAACCAATTTCGTCTTTTCAGTCGTCTGCATTCGTGGAGCCCCGTTGCATCTATACATGCATGTGTATCTACCATCAAGTCATGCCATCGATCTGGGAAGCACGTTCAGGCGAGGCCCTCAAAATGCAGTTTCTTGGTCGTGAGGCCGTGACAGAGATCCTACTCGTCGTCACTGTCATCCTCGTCATCCTCCTCGTCGTCATCCTCCTCCTCGGCGTTCTCGAGCCACTCGACGAGAACCCTACACCTCTCTCGCACGGCGGCCATGCCCTCGCCGGCCGCGGCCCTCTCGTCGCCCCACCACGCGACAATGGCCTCCTCCTCGAGCACGTCGAGGCTGTAGAGCTGCTGCAGCAGCGCGGCGAGGACGGTGCCGGCGCGCGCGGCCTCGAGGGCGCGGACGTTGACGAGGGCCTTTTGCAGCGCGAGGACGAACTCGCGCTGCTCGGGCTCGCCGCCGCCGACGCCGACCTCGCGGATGAAGGACGGGGCGCCGCTGCGGGCGGCGAGGGCGGCGTCGGCGGCCTTGGCGGGCTCGAGGGCGCCGTGGGCGGGCGTCAGGAGCTCGGCGGCGCGGCGGGCAAAGGCGACGGCGACGGCCTTGCGCATCTGCACGTCCGACGCGTCGTTGGCGAGGCGGAGACCCATGAACTCGAGCTTGGCCGAGTCGAAGTCGCCCGTGTCGTCGCGCAGCGCGTCGAGGAGGCCGTGCACGGCGTCCTGGTGGAACGAGGACGACGACGACGACGACTTGCCGCCGGCGCCCGAGTCGTCCGAGGCGAAGGACGAGAGGCGGTGGCGCGACTCGTCGGCTGACAGCGACGTGTTGTAGTCGTCGTCGCCAAAGGTCGAGTCGAGGTCGGACGAGAGCGTCGAGAGGGAGGACGCGCTGAGGGAGAGCGCGGAGAGGTTGTACAGGAGGGAGCGCTGGAGGATGGCCGGGTCTTCGTCGTCAAAGTCTTCGGCTTCGGGGTCGACATAGGCGGTGCCGCGGCCGCGCGGGCCCAGCAGCTTGGTGTCTGGGTCGACGGGCTTGCCGTCGTGGGCGAGCGAGGAGACGACTGTGCTTTCGGGCAGGTGAATGTCGTCGCTGACCGTCACCTCGGACGAGAGCACGGAACCTTCGCCGACCGACGCCTTCTTGCCCACGACGGTCGAGTGGCCGAGTATCGATCGCCTGACGACGGCGCCGTCGGCAATAATGACATCGTCCCAGATGAAACTGTCCTCAATGGTCACGTTGACGCCAATGGTGCACCGCCTGCCGATGATGCTGCCGCTGACTGTGCTGCCTGATCCGACAATCGTGTTCTTGCCAAAGATGGCGTTGGACACCCTGCTGCTCAGCGCAAACTCAACACCATCTTCCGCCGACACGCCGTGCTTGCGCATTTGGTAGCTCTGCCCGGGCAGGACGTTGCAGTCGGGGATGAATGGGAATGTCCAGCGGCCAATGACGTCTCTGCTGATGGCCTCGTACATTTGCAGGTTGTTGGCGCGCGCCGCGTAGCCGTCCTCCAGGATCTCGGCGTAGATGGCCTTTCCGTTCAGCTCCCAGTCCTTGAGCACACCGTGCAGGAAATTCCTCCTCGGCAGCTCATAGTCGAAACTCTCTGACCACAGCGCGAGCACCTCGGGGGTGCAAATGTCGATCTGGGCGTCGATAAAGTCGGAGCGGACCTCGAAATCGGCCGACAGCTCGTCGATGATGGTAGGATCGAGTGTCATGTAGTGGTCGCTCTGGAGGGGATGCGACTCGTCGTAGTGAAGACATCTCCTCGTCTTGGAGTCGATGACAAATGTTGGTGTGATGCCGTTGGCCTTTGTCCTGTGTTCGTCGTCACCGCCGGAGCGCAGCACAACAGTCATGATATTGGTGGCCGAGGCCTCTTTCCGCGCCTTGTGCCCCGTCAGCGCCTTCTCGAGAGATATGTTGGATACGAGGTCGCCATGGACTAGCACAAAGTCGCCGTCAATATAACCACGGCCGTCGAGGTCACGGAGGAAGTCGCCGACGGAACGAGCATCGGACACGCGGATGAAGGAGAGGTTGGCAAAGGGACTCTTGTTGGAGGAGGTGGACCAGCGCGAGCGGTTGATGTAGTCCTCGAGCTGCTCGCCGTGGGCTCCGGGGTATATATGCACCTCCTGGACGCCGTTCATGGCCAGGAACTCGAGGGTGTACTCAATGAGGGGCGTGTTGGCGAGGGGTAGAAGACACTGCGGGCAGGGACCTGGTCAGCGTCGCAGAGGGTCAAAATTCGGTGGACGGCTTACTCTCGGCTGGTCGATGGTGAGCGGGTGAAACCTGTCCTGGAAGGAGTCGGCGATGACCTGGAGATTGGGCGGGCGCATTAGCATCAAGATCTGGATTTCGACGTTGTTGCCCCACCATGGAGCGGTACTCACCACAGCCTGGAGCACATCCTCGCGCTTGCCCTCGCCGGCCTTGGCGGGCTTCTTGCCCTGCTTGCCCTTTTGCTGCGACATGAGCGGTCTTCGGCGGTCGGTCGATCGGTCGAGAGGCGGCGCTGGCGATCGGAGGGTTGGGTGCTGGCGACGGGCCGGTAGTTGGGCGGCGGGTTGGTGGTCTGAAGATGCAAAAGTTGAGCTGTGAGTCAATGGAGCTATTGGCCGTCGGGGCCGTGCGTCAGAGGCTTCTCGGTGGGTTCGGTGTGTTGATCGGTGTAGGCTATCGTCGACGGGGCGGGCCCAATGCTGCACCTTGGGATAGCACGACTCATTCTTACATTCGCCTTTTCCATGCAGCAATGCGGACATGATTTTAGGTTCGCTTGCTCATCAGTCATGATCTATTTCCTTGCTCCCAGTGTTACATGACCGCCGATGGCTGAAGATCCTCAAGCGTTGGGTCCAGCAGCCGATACCTACCTGCCTTTGCACGACCACCGTCAGCGATCCTGAGAGCTTGGCATGGCGAGCATGAAGAACGCGGGCACACAATGATGATTCCTCCGCAGTGATAATTCCTCGCCCGATTTCTGTCTTGCACTGCTTTCCAATCCCGCTGTCGATCACCATGAATTCAGGGCCTTCACGAGCGCTAGGATGAGCCACTGGTCATGCCCGTGAGGATTAGGCTTTCGACAGCTCGCTTCAGGTCCAATATTCCAGAAAGTGCACTCCGCCAGGGGATGATGTTGCGGCCAGGTCCGTCTACCTAGGCCACACGTGGGAACCTTGATTTGGTACAGGGGTTCCATCTGTAATTCGAGGTCACCTTTCCAGTTGGTCCAGATTGCCATCCGTCATCCAACGACTCGTCGCCACAGATTTCGATGCGATTTGCGATTGCCATCGCCCTTTGTATTAGGTAGGTAGGTCCTGATCTGGGCGCTGCGCGCTGGGCGCTGTGCGCTTGGCGGTTTTCGAATCAGGTATTGATTGCGCTCATATCGCCTGGGTGCAGTCGAGGACAAATGACACCGCCGGATCCTGCTTGGCACGGCTGCTCGCTAGCATGATCTATGAAGCTCCAGACGAGAGACTTTTGCTCTCTCTCTCTCTCTCTCTCTCTCTCAACGCACTTCAGTACGCGACGTTGAGTTTCGTTTCGCGCCGAGCTCGAACTTGTCCCGTCTACCCAAACTCTAGCACCATGAATGGCAAGCCTGAAGCCGCGCCTAACCTTCTCAACATCCCAAGAAGCTCAGCGTGGCTTGCCCTTCTCTGCGTCTACCCTTTTAGGCCCGTACAATACACACCAAAGCATGGCACTTGCCGAGGTTCTGTCCTGGGATTTTGTATGATGCAACCATGCATGAAAGCTTCAGAAAGGCCAGGCCTCGACCGCCCGACCGGGTTCTCACGATCGCGAGGAGGGCTAGACTGATGAACCGAAGGGAGGTTGGGTCAGCAGGTGGGTGCATGGGGGAACAAATGCGCAGCCCAGACTGCCGAAAGATACGCCGACATGGTACAGGATTGGGGTGACATCGTGATGCGAGGGCCTGGCTCCCCCATCTCGGCGTAACACCCCGTTTGCGCAGACTCAAAAGGGAACGTGGTCGTGCTGCGAGTACCTCCGTGGGAGAAGACCGGACAGTCAAAACTGCCGTCCTGCTCACTATGGAACATCGGTCAGGCAGACGGCGAGCATGCCACGCGCACTGCCAGAGCTTCCTCCCCTGGGTGAGAACTGCAACACGTCTTGGCACCCTTGTGAAGCCATCTGCAGGGCCGGGCGCGAGTCCAGCCCAAAACGCCAGCTCCATCACGATCGAAGTGCCTTCCGCATGGAGCGAAACTCTGAGTGAAATAGACCACTCCAGCCCCCGCGACTGTGACCCCTCAGACGATGCACCTGCACCTCCTCCCGCCAAATTGCACGCAAACATGTGGCGGCGTTCTCGGCCAGGCTTTCGGACACAGGGCGACAAAGGGCTGAATGGGCCGGATCCTCCGGGTCTCGCGCGCTCGAAAGAGGCAGCATAATCCGAGAGTCGACCGCGAGCATAATAATACGCTGACGAGTTGTTACCCTGGGAAAGATTGCCTACTATGCATTGTCTGGGTAGGTCAGGTACCTACGAGGGAGGGGGGGGGGGTAAAGATCCCACAAGGCCAGTCAGACGTGGCCGATCTGCCCTCCACTTCCGTACATATCGATATCTCCAAAAGACGTACAATTTTTGCCCATCTCGATCCTGCCACGTTCTCCCACACACATCTTTCCGGATCAGCCCTACCACATTGGTATTCAACACCAACACGGACCGGGCTCCGCACCCTATGACGAGACCGCTTGGCCCCCCTTTCCCCCCATCCCCCATCATGATCAAAGCTGTTGCAGAGACGTCATGGAAAAGAACCCCGAAAGGATCTCCCGTTGTCTCCGGCAGAGATGGGTGAGCCTCCCCTCTATTCGCTGGGAGGGGGGGGGGGAACATCTCAGAACTCCAGGGGTCTGGGCCCCGGCGACTCAAAATCAGCCCACCCGGCCGCACAGCCGGGTCCAGACCAGTCTCGAAGGCGGGACCCGTCGCACGCGCCCCTCCTCCTTGCTCCCTTTGCCCGTTCCTTCACTGGTTGCCGTCCATCAAATCGAGAGGCGGCCCCCCTCGTTGCTGTCATTGTCAATCGACACTGACAGGGCCCCAGACAGAAGTCCCTAGCCCGTCGCAACGGTGTCCCGGCCAGGGCTCCCTAGGGGGTCCGTAGTGTCCGAGAGCACGTACAGCGCATTCGGTCTCGTCACCGTTGACATCAGGTTCAGCGAGCTTGAACGACAGGAACGGACTCCGTCAGGACGCCATCGGGATTATACTTTAGGAGGGGGCGGGCACGAGATCAGAGAAGAGGACGAGAAGAAAAGCAAAAACATGGTTGAAGCTCCCTTGAAGCCTGGCTATGCATGGCATGCGCACCGCCGGATGAATGAACAAGGTGCAGACTGGCTCCCCCCCTCGGGGCGATGGACCTGATGTCCGCTGCCACGGCGGCCGCCCGCGTTGATAGTACTATCTTGAACGGTAAACCAAACACACACCCCGGCTCCCGCCTTCGGTTTCCCAGCATAGAGGTCCCGCTAGAGGTCCCGCTCTCCTGGGAACAACCGCTGCGGCGCTCAAGATAAAGGGCGACAGGCCTTTTGTCTTGCTTCTCTTCTCTCTCCCTCTCGCACCCTGACCTTCCCAGTCCAGCCTGTCCATACCAAGCCGCCCCCGCTCCCCTCCCCGAGAAACAAGGCTGGTAGTACAGACCAGGGCGTGCATGGACGAGCGTCACGTCCCGAGAGACAGGGCAAGGCAGGGACGGGTCCAGGCAAGGTAAGGTGACACGCGGTATGTACCGGCCGTACGATGGCCCATGGCTTGGCTGGGCCCTTTGTTTTCTCGAAATCCGATCACACACAAACACACATGCACGCCTCTCCCTCTCCTTCTCCGTCTCCGTCACTCCGTACCCCCCCTCCCAGCTATATCCCCTTGTCGACGAAGACCCAGGCCCATCCCCCAGGCGCTCGGGGCCTGGATCAACCCGTCTGGGGTACTTTAACCTCGCAGTCCTCCTCTTTGTCCCCCACACCTACTCTCCCTTTGCTCTATTTCTCAGACATGCCATC